CACCCATTATTAAACATTCAAAAAAATACAGTTTATATCCATTGATAGTAACAATCAGTTTATAGCTCTTCACACACCAAACCCATCACCAGATACTAAGACATTAAGACATACCTAAAACACAGGTCCAGAATCGTGTCCCACAAGAATTCGCACAAATAATTATCGCCTAAATCCCTGTCCACACCCATCAGCACATCCATGACATTCAAAAACAGGTCACTCGAGTTCAGTAGCCGGCGCCCAATGAGACCGGAATGGGGTTCGGAGACGGGCGTCGAGTACAAGCACCAGCACCGGGAGGTCCTGCTGGCCGACCTACGCAACTACCGGCGCATTACGCACAGCGGGTACATGTTTTACGTGACAATCATCGACACCAAACACCCGAAGTTCATCCGCAGCACCGATAGGGGGTCCGAGAGGTGGCGCATGAGGTTCAACGTGTTCGCCACGGGCTTCATGGCTCAGTGGATGCCTAATACGGTCGTCCACTACGGCGAACTCCACGTGTACTACGACCTGATCCCGGAGAAGCCGAAGCCCTGGTGCCACGACTTCACCTTTTATTACGACGACCGCCAGCTCCAGCACCCGGTGCTCGCCGACCGGTACGAGCGCATGGAAGTGTCGTTCCGGGAGAGCCTGATGGGAGAGTACCAGCGCATGAAGTACTTGCTGTTCCTGCCGATCAATAGGAGTTCCTTCGAGTCGCCGGACAAGACGTTGGATGAGTTCCTCGAGCGCCAGGAGATCATTGTCTCGCAGTTGGAGGCGCTCCGCAAACGGCATTACGCGGTGTCGCAGAATATTCCGCACAATATTCCGGTGTATAGTCTGCCGCAGAATATTCCGGTGAATGGCCCGCAAACGTACGCCCAGTCCCTCCGGTCGGCCGGTGATAGCCTACGGGAGTCGGCGCCCACTGACGGGAACGGTAGGAAGGGGTCGACCGTCACCGATGCTAACTGTGTGTAGTGTTTTTCGGCTAACTTTTTGGCGCTTTTTATTGATTCATAAAGTTTTTGTTTTGCATTCAAATTGTATTTAGTATTAAAAATTTTTGTATGAATTTATTGAATAAAAAACTTTTTTTTGTTAATTTGAGTCTCAATTTGCCGGCAATAGGTGGCAGTCATAGTAAACATGAATCACATATGTGCTGTACTAGTCATATACGATGTGATGTTGAGTACGAGTTTACAGTCCCCTATGTATTGGACAATGAGGTGAAGTTTGTTGTGATATTAATGCCCCCTATATTGAGCTCAACTCATGTTTATAGTAACGGTGTTTATGACCAGTTGTATGCCTAACGCAATGCAAACTCATTGAAATGCAATTCAAACAAGACTTGAGTTTTTTGTCGTATTTTTCCTCAAAATCACTGCTATTTTGGACACAAATTTGTGTCCAATTTATGCCTCAATTATCGCTCAACTGATCCCAAGAATGGCCAAAACGAAGCAAAATCAGGCGAAACTCCTGAAGTTTGGTCGCCAACCGTCTCAGCAGTCCTTCAACGGCAAAGACATCGCCTCGAGAGCTGATCCGCAGATGAAACAGAAGTTAATCACTACTAACACCTCATTGACGCACGTGTTGGCCATGATATCCATGGGTACGTCGATCACCAACAGCTGATCCAACGCTAGTATATCACTAATCCTACGCTATTTGTCTGATTGTCTTAAGGCGTGTGCCGGCAGATCACGAACAACGAGCTGATCCGTCAGCGACTCATTGTCTACTTATCACTCGTACTCATCGGCGGTCTCGTCAACGACTTCACGCCACTGATCACCAGATCCTTCATGTTTAAGGTCCAGAAGAC